ACAACTAATTCGATCAGATATTCATAATTTTTCACTAGTAATTTGACAGATTCTCTCTTAGTGGTTTCTCTGTCCAGTCCGGAACAAAACTGAGGCCGACGACCGACGACTCTTGCAAATACCCTAATACAGGGTGGGGCAGAAAGGACGGACGTTTTTTAAAAAATCACAAGATTTGTAATTGTTACTACAAAAGATATTTGTTGGAAGATGTGAATTCGTATTGAAATAGCATTTTACAGAATCAAGTGTGGAAAACAACATTTCTCATGTGTTGTCTGTTATTAGTGATGCATTTCTGGAGAAAATTTTGGCGACTTCCACGCGAATAACTTCCTTCCTTCAGTTCTTGCAGTTCGGGCTTATGCTCATATACATGTGCCTTGAAGTGTCCCCACATGAAATAATCGCATATGGATAAGTCGGGCGAACGAGGAGACCAATGAATGTCACCGAACCTGGAAATGAGGCGACTAGGGAAGAGACGACGAATAACGTCAATTGGTGCCCTAGCTGTGTGGGCCGCCGCCCCATCCTGTTGAAATCACACAAGTCTGATGGGAATTCCATCGTACGCAAGGATGCGGAAACATATTTCCATCAGATGTGTACGACTGAGTACGATCCTCTTTGCGTACGACTGTTTTCTCAGTCATACGCAAACACATGGTATTCTATCGTTCAAGGCTCCATGCCTTCAACTGAAAAGACAGTGCTAAGACCTCACTACTTTCACGCTATATGCCACACATTGACGGCCGGATAGCCGAGCGGTTAAGTGGCAGCCTACCGTTCTGGGGGACACGAAATCAAATCCGGACGAGTCGAAAAATCCCCAAAAATTTTTCGGGGGTGATCCGACTGGATATGTCTGCCCTGTCCCTTACCATCGGGCCGCCCTATTGTGGGCCTAGCCGAACCCATAATGGGCTTGCTAAATGACGCCCTCTTAGTGCCCACAGGGCGGAAAGAGTTTTAAAAAAAACCTCCCTCTACACATCTGTCACTCCACCTGGTGGTGAGTTCTAGCCGTTTCAAAAACGTCCGACCTTTCTGCACCACCCTGTAATTTGATACCGGGGAAAATTCCGAATCACGTCATTCATTTGCGTATTACAAGATTCGATAGAAGGCTATTGAAGTGGTAAGTTTCGTCCTCTCGAATCCAATGAGTTGTTTTGTCTCTGTTAGAAAAAAGAACAATTCGATTCACACTCAGAATTAAAAAAATTCACCAAGCAACACTAGAGGTGCACAGACTAAACAACATCAACGCACGAACTTCAAAAGTTTTTGGTAAAAACGTCGGGAACATCAAACCCAAGAAGCTGGAGAAAAATTTACTTTCCTCAGTTTCTTGGATTTGAGGTTCCCGAAAGGTTCTTGGGTTTCTTTTATTTCCCGAAAGGTGGCAATCATGTGCGTAACTATACCGTTATATATAGCCACATACAACAGTCTCGAAAGACACCGGAATATTCTTGTCATGGTGTTTCTATATTCGGGTGAGACAGAAAAGAGGCAACGTGTCTAATCTCTCGGTGTACCAAAACTATTTAATTTACGAAAACGGGAATACTAGTGTTTACCAACCTTGTGTCGATATTGAAATCGCCTTTCGTCAGACTTGCAGCTTTTCGCTCGTTTCAAGAAGCGATTGTTCATGCTGCAACTGAAACTTGCCGCTGGCACGTTTACAATTCCCACTCAACGGTGCAAAGGGGACCACGCTGATTGATGTCTCGATCCGGACGAGCTATTGACATTACGCATTAACGTAATCCTTCGGTTTAGTTGAAGTCACGTGAAATAAAAATGCATTGTTTACTATGTATTTTATTGCTTGAAATGGCGAAAGATTAGAAAATCGACAATTGTATTTACAAAATAGCAACTTAGTTGTAATTTTTGTTTATAACCGATGATTTACGACACTACAGATATATGAAAATGGAAACAAAAAAATCACTCAAAATAAGAAAGATCTTTTAATGTCAAAATATCATTTCATCCATAAATTAGTATAAGAATGTATTAACAATGTCGTATCTGTTACTATAATGTAAAAGCCGATCATGAAAATATAATGTATTCAGTTTGTTAGTTAATGTAGTCAGTTTGTAGATACTAGGGATTATACTTGATATTTTATGTATGTTTATTTATAAATATTCTATATAATTATCTTTTAGTATAGATGGTAAATATTTTATATAATAATATTGCATGTTTAAGTATGTAATTCTTGCGCAAGTGACTGTTTTTGTAATATTATAATAATATATTTATGTAATAATTTCGTGTGTAAATGTTTAATTTTTAACATTTAAAACGAGCAATTATTTATTGTGACAGCGACACAATGCTCTCAATTTAAAGTTTCTTGCCACCTATGCATCATACTTTTCCTGTGAACAATAGAGTCATGCCAGTCATCTATCTAACTACGTTCAGGAGAAAGGTTTTGAATTGAAATAACATGACTTACAGTCAAAATTGGAAGTTCATGTATAGTTAATCGGGACCTCCTGCTCCAAAGCTTTTTATATCCGGTCTCAACTTTCATCTAACTTGTTCACGAGATTAAGGAAGGACAGACAGACAACACCATGGGAATTTATAAGCCTACAATTTTTGAAAATTGCTGCCCAATAAATTTTTTACTATAGAAACGCTGTAGTAAACAATTAAGTTTTTCTACCATCTCGTTTGATTCCAGTGATATTGTTCGAATTTATTTTCCTCATGAAAATAGCTTCTGACCATCTACTATAATAATCTACTAAAGCTATAATATATTCACCTAATGGGAATAACTCATACAGTATATCGGTGGTTAATTCTTTTCGCGAAGCTGAAGGTTAATCTGTATCAGTTAATTTGGGTAATGAGCTGGAAGACTTTACTGTAAGGATAAGGAGTGTCTTACTTCCTCTTCCACTTCTTTATCTATTCCGGGCCACCAGACTTTTCTTCTTAATCGTTGTTTTCTTATCACACCTTGATGACCTGAACATGCTATCTTAACGATGACTTTTCGAAATTTTGAATAGATCGGAATACTTGTGCCATAAAGGAAGTTATGTTATTCTTTTTTTATAAGTAGAAAGCTCGACGCAACGTGTTTATAGTGCTACCGAAAATCGCATCATCCTCTTCTATTATATCTCCCGTGAAAATCTTTTCAAATTTCGACAGTTCGTTATCGTCTTTCATTGCCTTTGTGATGTCATTCGAAGTCAAAGTGTGGAACCTGCATAATTTACAACAGAATTGACATAACGTATATGTTCCTTCGGTTACGACTGATTCGGTACTAATCGAAATATAGTTACAGTCGACGGTTAAAGTGGGAGTCTAGCGCCATGGGAAACCAGGATCAAATCCGGACGAATCGAAAAACCTTCGAAATTTTTCGGAGTGGACCGTCCGGAATTTGGGTCCCTTCCCTCACCACCAGGCCGTTCCATTTTGGTCTGGCCGAACTCACAATGTGATGGATAAAAAAGGCCTTCTTAGGGCTCATAGGACGGAGAGTTAAAAAAAAAAACAAAAATTGAAATAAACTGTGTTCAATATACTGTATATAAAATTTCTCTTGTTGAAAGATTATCTAACGTTCGATTCTGGAGGAATTTTTGGAGCCTGGAGAATATATTATTTCCAAAGATCTGCCGTGTTAATATAGTGAATTCAGTCCCCACGAGTCAAACTATGATAGTTTGCCAATTCAAACTATCCTACAGCTTCTTTTTTCTAAGACCCATTAGATGTGTAGTGCATGCGAGTAGAAAGGAAATACACTCAGACGAACATCTTTCTACGTGTTCTGCGTGAGATAAAAGTCTGCTTGCATGCACGACAGGTTTAACGTTGTAAGTTGATTATTTGGATGTTCTTGGATAATATAACTCCCAGACCGTAACGAGTTACGGAATAATCCCGTCTGTAAAATGCTGAAGCTCCTTTACATATATATATTTTTTTGTTTTTTTTTTTTACAGAAGACTGTATCAATTTGTTGAAGTTTGTTATCTTGGCCTACTAACTTTTTAAACCTGTAATTACAGACTTCAGACAAGGTAATTCTGATATCCATCACGTTTGTTTGGACAGAGACATTTTGTCAAATTCTCCAATAAATAAAAAGACAGTCAATTCCAAAAAATTTTTTTGGAATTGACTGTCTTTTTATTTATTGGAAAATTTTACATCCAGCGAAATTTAAAAAATTGTCAGATTCTATTTCATCTCTTTCATTCGTATTTTCTGGTAACACCGTTATAACAGCATTAATAAACAAACTTTCAATATACAATACTTGTATTTATAAATATAACAACGATGCATAGCGCCAATAGATTACCAGGATCGGTCAACCAATCAGCGTGGCCTCCTTGCACTGTTTAATGAAATTTATGTGTTTGCCGCTGTAAGCTTGGTGCCATCTTGAATGCTGAAGTAACTCGGACATGTGACTTCTTAGAAAGGCGACTTCTTCAAAAACCATGTCGGTTCTCTATAAATCAAATAACGTCTGCATGCCATGAGATCAAATAACGTCGGCATACCATGAGATCAAACCTTTCTGATTCATCCCGTACTATCTTTATGATTTCTGTTAAATTTCAGAAACTATTTTTATTATATCGATGCTGTATTAATAGTGTGTATAAAAGCATTAATGGGTCATAAAGTTGGGAGAACGCTCATCCGCGTCGTTCTATCCATAATTCAATATGGATAAAAGTTTTATAGTTCATGTGATGCGATAGAGAATGCAATAATTATGCGATTTCTAAAAAATCCATCAACGTGTTACCAAATTTATCAGCTTATCACGCAGACTATTTTACAACTACATGCAAAATAATAGTTGTGTTTATAAACTTGAAAGAGAAGAAAATAAACGTCTCTTCTCTATGAATCATACAGCAAATATATACACCATTAATTAGAAGAAGAATAAACGGAAGAAGGTGACGGGGAGAACCAATTAAAACAAAATCGAAAATGGCAAAATTATTTTTATTACGAAATTTTATTTACATTAAAATAACTCTGACTCTTAGCATTGCATAATAATTACAATATATATATAGGCCTAAGCCTATCTTTCTTTACAATATCTTGCGGATAACGTTGCATCAATGCGTCTATTTGCAGTAAGATTAAATAATTTTCTATTATTAACACTATTTAATTTTTCTGATAAACTATTCTAAAAATATAAATATATATTTTCTAATTTAACAATATATTTCTCTTTTATTGCTTAAATTTATTCTCACTCTGATTCGACGAATACAATCGGAGCCAGCAACCTCGGGTCCTAACACGTCCCTTTCACATACAATATTCTAATAAATATAGATATGTGTAAATTTATTCTATTTTCACATCCAGCAGCGTATTTCGTGTTTGATTTGTTGCATTTTATTTCAAAGTATCGACGAATCGTTTTATATAATTTAGTCGATCCATCCCCAACGAAACCTTTCTTTGCTGGCACCATTCATACGTGTACATACAGTATACAGCACCTACACGTTTCTAAAGAGAAAATATCGTCGGACACAAGATTTTGCTTAAGCGTTAAGTATTCACAGATTTATAAGCCTAAGCTTTCGAACAAAAAATAAAAGAACAACAAATTTTAAAATTCACACCTTTAATTTTTCCTAATAATTAAATTCAGTTCGATTTTAGAGATTAAAATTATCGTTTTTTGTGCCTAATCCATAATAAGAAACCGAAAGAAAATTCTATTTTACTGCAGAAATGCGAGATAATCCATACTTAAAATGTCTGATCACATTTTACGCACTATTCAGACGCTTCGTTTTCTTTTCTGATGCTTAACAATTCGAATCTTAATCTTTGTCTTTCGAATCAACTCTAACTAATTAACGCTTACATCTTTCACACGAATCTTGAAGATAATCGCGGGAGACATTTCGGACAGCTGTTATCATTCACTACTTGAAGGGATAGCAGCTGTCACAACATATATTCCGATAGTAAGTATAACTACATAATCTGGCTTGAACAACGAGGTTGCAGTTGCGGAATTTATCCACACATCCAGAATCTGAAAACAGTTAAATAAGCTTCGATTAATGGGGAAGCGATTACAAAAGCTGCAACAAATTAAATTAAAAGCTTAATTAAACTAATCATTAAAGAATAATCTGTTTATTTCATATAAAGTCATCGGATATATTTGTTTTCAAATTTTTTCCGTTTAGTTTGCAATTATATATTTGAGTGTAATTTAATCATTTTATCAGGAATCAATATATTTATAGAAAAATCTTTGAAAATAATATGTTTTCACGAATTTGCGTGTAAGACTGAAAAAAGTATAAAATATAGTAATGCCACGTCCAGAAGAACTTTCTCATCTGGAATGAAAACAATACATAGATCCGAAATCGTAGGAATGACCGGAATGCCAAGATTGACACTGAACATGTGAAAACGAAGAGTCATTTTCTACGAATTTGAAAACCAGTAAAGGAATTTCCAATTCTTTGACTGTTAGAAAAATTCAAATCAGTCCACATAAACCGTCTATTGTTTCAAAGATTTATGTTGTTCAATATAAAAGCATTCTCATACGTGCTATTTTTATCGCAGCGGTTGTTTTTATTCGAATAATTCTGCAAATATTTATTTTCAAAATATTTAATTGTTAACCGTAGAATATGAATAAGATTTAAAATAGTATAAAAATAAAAATAAAATCGTTTATTCATCAAATTAACATAAACGTTGCATATACTCATCAATTTTACAAAAATCTACTTTGAAGAATTGTTTTCTGAATAATTTGTATTAAAGAAGAAAAAATGTCGTTTAATTTTCTCAAATAAGGTTTCCTATTAAAATTATACCAGTAATTTTCTTCGAAACTATAAAGAAAATGTTGCAACATTGCAATTTAAAAACAGGCGTTTGCGAGTAGTGCCACCGCGTACTGGTAGACTTTGCAACTGCTACAATACTTCTTATTCTACAAGTTTCGGTGGCTGGAGTAAGCGAGGTACTTCTTTTTATAAGGGAAAGATTACTATTAGGGTTCTGAAATAAGAAAACGAGCTTCACAATTTCTTACTTTGAAGAAATAGTAATGTGTTTGTACAGTATTATTGTATGCTGTAGTTAGTAGTTTACGATGTGATGATAATACTACTGTCATGTTTTAAGAGTCTATGGTTTCATTCCTAAAAAGATGTAATTCAGTGGTCACTCTTAGTGATTTTCAGCCGTACAGGCTACTGCGAGAGCGCGAGTTGCGCGCGTCTCGTCGTGTCATATTGTTAGTTGACGTTGCAACTCGTCACAGACCTTATAATTAAACTAACATCCACATCGCCTGCTATCTTCTATTTTTTTTTTTAATGTTAAGGAATGTCATTCGCAAATGATAGTACTTTTCACTTAGTTCTTTAGATATTTAAAATAATATTATCGTTAAACACAATAAACATTTTATATCTATAAATCTAAAAATAATACTTAAAAATAGTGCTTAGACTTTCGATTATCTCACGCGATGTCTATGCTCTTTTCGATAAAACGAAGAATTAAAATTCCACATGCATTCGTGAGCCTGAATCAGCTGGATCAATCTCGATTCTAAAGCTATATCTGTATTCTGACTTTTTGTCATGATGATAACTATTTTCGAAGTTGCCACCGTATGACGTGGCAAAAAGGAGTTTGCTGATTGGATGCGCGTTTGCAATCGGCACGATAACAACTTCTTGTTTCTAGTTGCTATTGCAGTCGCGCAGGCTTTCGGAGAGTTTTAAGTATTGGGAAAAGTCATAGTTGTTGCAGTTGTCTGCGCGGCTGGAAATCGCAAGGTGTGACCACAGCTTACGGCATGTACCACATGTTGTGTGGGGTACGCTACGACAACAGTTGTTAGATGCAAAATTGCATCGTTCTTCTAAACCTTCATTTTTCTCGATTATATTGTAATGCTTATTGTAATAAAAAAAAGTGAATCAGCTGTAAACTTTATGATCGTGATGATAGGAGCTTTTCCTTTGCAAAACGATGTGAGAAATTTCAAACAAGAAACAGAAAAGAGAAAACCAACTGACGTTGTTTAAAGCATCCGAAGAAGTATTTTCATAAAAAATATTGTAGAAAAATACAATATCCATTATTTTACCTTGTCGAGGTTTATTATTAAACTACAGAGCATAAAAAAATAAAAAAATACCAAACCACGAATGTTGCCTATAAATTGCCTAGCGTAGTATTTAATAATGAAGGGGAGCAGCTGAAAGTATCCTGAAACGTGCAGTAAAATCCTGCAATAAGATCATGCTTGAAAATAAATGTATATGTAATAACAATATTATTGCAACCTGACCCATTAGATGTTGCAACATGCCTCAATGATAAGGCAAATTGCAACATTTGAACTGCTGTTATTTTTAGATACAAAAAATGAATGATGAGTATTCAGTATAAAAGTTTGAACTCGTTTGTAGCTGAAAATAAAAGCTAATTAAATTTTCTTATCAAATGTCTATATGTTTAATAAAAAATTTTAAAATGTTTAATATTTTTTGTGTTACAATTCTTCTCAGTCTCTCTACAATTCGTGGAAAATTCGCTATTAATGCGTATTTTGTATAATGTGCTTCCAAGGATCTTTGGAAACGCATGTTTGTAAAAGAAAGTAAAATCATAAAAGTACATTATACAATACCGAGCTATCAAAAACTAATTTTTATGCTGAAATGTAGGGTAAGTGAGGATTAGATAGTGACCATGTGTAATTACTGTATAAACGAAAAGGTAGTGCCATATATTAATATATTGTGTTAGTTGAAAGCCATGCTTGCTATGTGTGCTATTTACGGACAATTTCTGTAAAAATAAGTGAAAAAGTCGAATGTTTCTGTTTCTGGCCTGCAGAATGTTTTACACATTTTGTTCACTGTAGTTTCGAAAATCATAAGATTAGCGGACGACTTTTTTCTTGTATGTAATAAATATTTTAGAAGCTTGAAAAATGAGTCTACCCTGTAATCGGTTAAAATTAACAGAGAAGGCTTTGATAGAGGGCTCATCCGTATGCTGTTCACCAATTAACCCACATTTCTAAAGGTGAGATAGTAATGTAGCAGAAAATTATATTTTGTTTTTTCGAATGTTTTTCGGACAACACTCTTAGTTTGTTCGTTATTGTGTTGTTTGGTATGACAAGAAAATACCAATTTAGTTAGTTATTTTAAATAAAATCTATTTTCACATTCACAGCTTCCGGAACTTCTATTCACCACGTAACCCTGATGTACTCTATATCGAATATACGTTTATATATATTACTAGCTGCAAGGACCCGCTTCGCTGGGTTTTTATTTGTTCGTACATTTGTATGTAATATAGTTGTTTTTATATATAAAAGACTGTTTTTCTAAGCAATCTAGAATCTAGCTGCAAGGACCCGCTTCGCTGGGTTTTTATTTGTGGGCAAAAAGTAACGATAGTGAAGATTAAGATAATTACATTATAGCCAATCTTACCCGTTTTCACAGAATGCAAGAATTAGGTCCCCCGTTTCCAGACTAATTAGAGACCTGGTCCCGATTCTATTTCTGAACGTCTCCTGTTCACGTCCAGTCAAACGAACTACTTTCAACGTTTCTGGAACGTTTACAATCGTTCTATAATAGAACCAATATTCGAATTTTATGTTCGAATTCAAATTCGAACATAACATTCGAAATAGAAAACCACTTTCAACCACTTTCAGCCCCGTATCTCCCGCACCCTTATAGCTATCGAGACGCAACCCCCATAGTGCACGAATGGAGACTTGGGGCTACCACCACATACAAACAGCATTCATGTGCGATGTGTAGTTTTTGAGGAAAAGTGAAATATAGGGACACACACGTCCATTTTTATATATAGATATAGACATTTTTATATATAGATATAGATATAGATATATATAGATATAGATTTAGTTATTGATATTCAGAATGTTTTAAAGTAATTTGCATCAGTGTTTCAATTGGCAATATTATCACTACAGATATTTTCTTTCCGGATCATGATTTATATTTATTGATTCGGTTATAGTGTTTTATTGAGGAAGTAATATTTATAAATTAAATTTTGTATTCACCTGTTTTTAAGAACTTTTACTAAATTTATGGTGTTATAATTTACCAAATTAAATATTTGTAAATTTGTAAATATTTACAAGTACTTGATTGTTTGCTCTTTTATTATATATATATATCAAATACTGAGAATTTAAATGATTTTTTTCGAATTCTGAATTTATATAGAAATGAATTAAAATACATAATTGTAATAAAAGATCAATAATTAAACACAACGCCATCGATTATTAAAATAATATTTAATCTGAACTCCTGTATACAACGGATCTCTCAGTAGCAAAGTGGATAAAACCACTGAGCAATAGATAGCAGGAGCGTCCTACCAACAGGCTGAACGTGTGGCGTTTTATTCACGTATGTAACATGTAATAGGGCCAGTTATCCATAGAATGCTTTCCCGGCAGGCATCCCCTCAATAGATCGCTCGTATGTTGCGTCGCCTTTTCCTATCAAACTAAACCTCTCTACAATGAATACGATAAAATTATAGATAAAACTGAAAAACTGTATTCAAAACGTTTTCTAACAAACGATGGAAAGCATTATAAAGAAATTACTGAAGACACAACCGGGATTATTCAATAAATGATGTGTACACGAAATATTAAGCTCTGGTTTCCCTGCAATATTTAGGAGATTAGGCAAAAATCAGCGCTATTTTTGTGTATAATTAAGTGTGCTCTGCACATCTCAACAATATGTTATAACTAAAACACTTGTATTACAATATTTACACAACTGAAATGGATGACGGAGGGTCTAAATGGAATATTTTATGACGTAATAAGTCTATTTCTACTTGACAACACAACAGAGGCGGTTTTGGTTCACTAGTAGTTCTGATGTATGTTTTAGCAAATTTCACTGTTAGCGTTTGTTGAAAAATTGTTCCTCGCATATCCCGATGGATGTTCTTTCAGTACTGAAAATA